TCCCAGAGCTGTGAGACAGACTGTTGGCTGGGTATCCAAGGTGAACTTACAGAAGTTACTAAATAATCTGGAGAATCAACAGTAGCTCTACCAAAGTGGCTATGCGGTCTAGTAACTTAGAAGAAAGTGAGATGCTCTCTTTACAGTGCTTGGGGAGAGCTGAAAGTTTCTGAAGATGGTTCAAGTTATTCAATGAGATATTCAGGGATTTGTCTGAAGTCAGAGTGTTGAGTGTGTGCCATTAGCAGATGTCAAATATAAAACTGTTTATAGAATTACAGCCTTTGGTCAACTTACTCAGGCATCAGCAAAGTACTTGCCTTATCTGAAGAACCGCAGCTGTGACCCTGTTCTTTCTTCTGCAGTACCAAACAAGGATAACTCTTTCGTGAGCAGAAGGGTACTACTCTTTTATGTAATGTGGCCTGATGATTTAAATGCCCCCCAGGAGTGCAGTTGCATCTTCACACTCTATTTCCACCTCCCAGGAAACTGCTTCTTTTAGCATTCTGTGCTCTCATGGGAGATGAGAGACTCTCCATCCTGCTGAATGTATAATACATTATACAGAAGTAAAGACTCATCGAGTGAAAGAATATGTGTCCAACAACAAGCACGAATGTAGACTCTGAGATGGACACTTAATATAGGTTGGAAACTTGAGATCCAGCTTCTGCTCCAAGGTCAACTTTGATAATTTCCAAGGAAAGCCCATGAGGCCATCCCAACAGGCAGGGATTTCAGTACCACTGATAGCAACTAATACAAAAGATGTGGCACCTATGGATTTATGCTTAAGGGAGTGAGCAGCATGTTGAATGGGAATTTTCAGGATAATTTTGAACCTATTTCTACCTAAGTTTCACCAAATGCATCCAAGTGCTGATCTTTTCCTGGGTTCAATTTGCACCAAGCAGCACTTGGATGTGAACAAATGCTGCAATACAATCTGTAATGAGCTTGGGATTTAGATCCACCATGCAGCAACATGAAAATGGATATCCTGAGTTTCTCACAGTGTCAAGATTGTTTTGATAAATAAAACTAGCTTCAAACAATTTTATCTTTTAATCTACAGGCCAGACATATACTAATCAAATCATATTAACAATAAATTTTCATTTTGGAGTATTCAGACAGGGAAATAAACACTGCTGTAATGAAATCTATCAACGACTGAAAGCCAGACTTTTCTACACTGCTTTTCTCTGCACTGGTGGAAATCTGTAGTTGCTGACCTGAATTTAGAGGCAGAATTAACACTTGCAGTGAAGTAACTAAAAGCAGAATCCAAGCTTTGTTTGTTATTAGGCATTCTAACTGCATGAATAAACACAACATGCAGCTGCTGTGATTTTTTTTTTAAGTCAGCTTGAGTTTAATTTGCAAATACAGTCAACACTAATTTACCCTTAATTTTGTCTTGGGATTTCTAAAAAATATGGGATGCCAAATGCTTAATCAGGTAATGGTACTAATTCAAAATCGCAAATATAAAGCTCAGAAAGATAAGCACTCACATGAAATAGCTTATGTTAGTCTTTAAATTAAATTGCTCATTAGATTGTCTCCTGTGTCCTACATTTAAAGGTCATTTACAGATTTTCATTACGAATAAGAAAAAGAGAGGGGAAATAATGTCTCCAAAAGGAAGCACAACTCCATGTCTTTTCTAAAGTGTTGTATCATAAAATTGCATCTGTTTTACTTACACAGAACCCTATGTTTTACCAAGACAATAAAACAGAAAAATAAAACCACAACAAATGGAAAACCCAACCCTTTAGCACATCTAAACCCTTTCATCTGGAAACCGAAAGCAAAGCACTGTTATCCAAATCTTCCAAACAGGAACAGTCATCACAGAGCTTTACCTGACTGCAACAAGGTCTCCTGATTTATCCTCCATGTTTGGTGTTTTGCTTTTGGGTTTGTGTTTGTTTTTCGTTTTTTAAAGTAATTTCTGAAAAAAAAAAGCAAGTTATTTACTGGCTTTTCCATGGTGGCCCTGTTAATCATCAGACTTCCATGGAATGGGGATTTTGAATATATTTTGGAGAAAAGGTGATCCTCAAATAATATGAAGCATCTTCAGAAGATGCTGTTCTGTTCCCAGATACATGAGGTTGCTTTCATAGATGTATTGTCCATAGTCCTTACTACAGCACTTGTGTCAGTGGCCAGAGGCTTTTTGAGCCAGTTGGCAATGGCCTTTCAGATCTATATGGCTCCTGACAGGTCTATTCTGTTGCTGCTTTGTACCTTTTCCTTCAACAAGAAACTAACCAGCCTTAGTCTCAGACAGCTGGAGAATGGCAGTAGAGGAGGAAAGGTTTCATCTCCTCTTTCCTGACTGCAGTGTTCAACCTTGCAGCTACTAAGCATAATTTCATAGAGTAAGATAGATTGGAAAGGACATCCAAAGGTCACCTGGGTTAAAACCTAACTCTAAGCAGGACTTAGATCATATTGCTCAGGGTCTTGTCTGGTTGAGTTTCGAATATCTTCAGGCATGGAGAACCAGCAACCTCTCTCAGTAACTTGCTCCATTTTTCATTTACACTTCCAGTATAAAAAATTATCTTTACTCTTTATATTGAATATAGAATCATAGAATCATTAAGGTTGGAAAAGACCAGCAAGACCATTGAGTCCAACCCTTGACTGAACACCACCATGTCCACCAGAACACAGCACTAAGTGTCATGTCCAGTTGTTTCTTGAACACTTCTCGGGATGGTGATTCTACCACCTTCCTGTGCATCTCATCCCAATGCTCAACCACCCTTTCAGAGAGGAAATTCTTCCTTATGTCCCATCTGAACCTCCCCTGCTACCATTTGGTTTAAGGCCATTTCCTCTTGTTCTGTCATGAGTTTCCTGGGAAAAGAGACCAACTCCCACCTTCTACAACCTTTCAGGTAGTTGTAGAGACCGATAAGGTCTCCTCTGAGGCTCCTTTTCTTCAGGCTAAACAACCACAGCTCCCTCAGCTGGTCCTCATAGGACTTACCCTCTAGACCCTTTACCAGCTTCATTGCCCTTTTCTGGACTCACTCCAGCACCTCAATGTCTTTCTTGTAGTGAGGAGCTCAAAACCGAACACAGCACTCACTTGAGGTGTGGCCTCACCAGTGTCAAGTACAAAGGGACACTTTCCTGGTCCTGCTGGACCCACTGTTTTTGATACAGGCCAGGATGCCATTGGCCCTCTTGGCCACCTGGACACACTACTGGCTCATGTTCTGCCAACTGTTGACCAGCACCCCCCAGGTCTGTTTCTGCCAGGCAGCTTTCCAGCCATTCTGTCCCCAGCCTGTAGCACTGCTACGAGTTGTTACGGCCAAAGTGCTGGACCCAGCACTTGGCCTTGTTGTGCTTCATACAACTGACCTCAGCCCATCCGTCCATCCTGTCCGGATCCTGCTGCAGAGCCTTCCAGCCCTCCAGTGGATCAACATTGCCGCCCACCTTGCTGTTGTCTGCGAACTTACTGAAGGTGTACAAATCATGCAGATCATCCAGACCATCCACAAAGTTATTAAACAGGACTGGCCCCAGTGCAGAGCCTTGAGGAATGCCACTAGTGATCAGCCACCAGCTGAATGTAGATTAACCACCACTCTCTGGGCCTGACCATACAGACAGTTTTTAACCTGGCACAGGGTACACCTCCCAAGGCTTGGGCTGTCAGTTTTTCCAGGAGAATGCTGGGAGTCAGTATCAAAGACTTTATTGAAGTCCAAGTAGACTACATCCACAGCCTTTCCCTCATCCAGTAGTCAGGTCACCTGGTTTTAAAGGAGATCATGTTGGTCAGGCAGGACCTTCCTTTCCTCAACATATGCTGGATGGGCTTCATCCCCTGGTTGTCCTGTATGTGCTGTGTGAAGGTCACTCACGGTAATCTGTTCTATAACCTTACCTGGCACCATTTCCTCAGAGCTTTTCTACATGTAAAGTTGCCAATATTATGTTTAGACTGCAACTAATATTGGTTTAGGACAATATTAGTTGTAAAAGCATGCAAGAAAAGTGAAGGAATGGACTCAGTGATTCAGGATATTCCTTTCCGTCTTATCTATTGGTGGAATCCAGTTAACATATTTAGAGATATGTATTTAGAGGCTCATAGATATGGACCTGCATGGGAACTAAGTGTCTAAACTGCAGCTACAGCCAATGGGGAGGATGGGATGCAGTTGCCCCTTGTAAGCTTTTAACACTCTTTGAAATGCCCCAGAAGGGCATATCTCCCATAGATTACATGCCGCCCCTACCAGGCTCATGTAGGTGTTTCCTGTACCTTAGAGAATCTGAAATGACGCCAGACACCTATGGGCAATGCTAGAGAAATACTTCATATGCATCATTATGAAGTATAGAAATAGGATGAGGCATAAATGGCCAATGACTACAGATAAATTATTACATTCAAAGGCTTGTGGTACAACAGTGGGTACAGTGTGAACCTCTTCCTTAGGTCCTCACTGTTGGCAGCAGCGTGCTTAAACAAAAAGAGAAGACACAGCTGATGTTCAGCTTTGTGTAGCACACCAGTTTTGCTAAATCTTTTTCAATAACAAAGTCACAATTATGAACTATTCAAAGGGCACACCACTACTCTGTACATGTACATGTGAAAGGAAAACTAGATAAACCTTTCAGGTTTTATCCCTCAGGATTACTTCACAGTACATATTTTTCCACATTTCTATTGTGCCATTAGTCTTTATCCTGTGCCTTCTGCAGAAACTTCTTTTTTCCTCCCACATAAGCTGCCAGGCTCTCACTCTCCAAGGGGTCACAGGTTGAAGGCGAATCCACAGAAACAGGAAACCAGGCTTCCTCAGTCAGTTTTGAAACACCAAAACCTGTTTCCTTTCTATGAAAATAAAGCCTGTCAGGGCATCCTCTGGGTAGGCTCACTGTACGAGTAGCAGCTCAGGAGAAGGGAGAAGCTTCAGGATTTCTTGTTTGGGAAATAAATGTGAGATAATTTGTAGCATTTACAAACCATCAAAATGAAGGAGATCATCTTCTTGCTGCTACTATTGCACTTACAGAGTGGCAGTGTTGGATTTAACACTCCAGGAAAGCTCTGGACCACAGGACAGGGTGGTGAAACCCAGATAAGTCACTCAGACTTGACTCCATCTTCGACCACAATTGCAGGGTCACCCCTTTCGGAAATCCAAGCTGACAAAGTGAGTGATTTACAGGGACCTCCTTTTGCGTCTTCAGGCAAGACTCTGGGAATGAAAGCAGTGAAGAAAATTTCAAATCTGACAACACCTACCCCTGCAATGCAGTCGAGTGATGGAGACTCTGACAGCGACAAGATGGGAAGCTCATCCAGCAGCAAAGGGACAACTCTACAAAGCAACACTAGAGAAGTCCCTCTCCAGCAAGGGGTCACTACAAGCCGGACTACAGCTCCAGGGAACAGATCTATCAAGCAGTCCTCCCACAGCACTGGCATCACCAGCACCCAGCAGGATGCCAACTCCAAAGCATCCAGCTTTGAAACTACCAGGGGAAGGTAAGTTCTGTGGTTTTTCTTGTCTCCTGTGTACTGCTTAGGAATGCCTATTTTTCTGTTCCCAGTGAAATAATTGGCAAAAGTTCTAGCAATTTCAGCAAAATTATTTTCTGAGCTTAAAAAAGATCAGATAAAACAAGCAAGGGACCAAACCTGCAGCACCTACTCAGGTAAAACCATACATTTGTAACAGAGTAAATGCTGCAATGTTTTATTCCTCAGGGTAGTTATCTCAAAATCAACAGGAAAGTCATTATCATATATGGGTAGGAAAGAACTACAATAGATGTCCCCCAGTTTTATGCACAATAAACTGTTGTTGGTGGTTTTTTCCCTTTTTTTTCTTGTGGGTAAAAGAAATTGCATATGCACTATTTCATTTGGAATCTATTGAAAATATCGTGTTCATAAACTTCACTAAATTGAAAATACAAGTGATTAAGTGTACAAAATGCATCAATGTCTGACAATTTGAAACACATAAAAACTTATGAAAAGTGGTGTTGCAGGTGACTGCATTCAGAACTGTATAACTTACATAATAGCTATGCATAGCAGAATATATCAAACTGTACTGTCTAGTTTTATAGCTCTGGAACACTCAATTATTTTCTTTGTTCCCCAGTGTCTTCAGTTCTCAATGGGGATATTAATACTGTCTTTGCAGATGTTGCAAGTTTCCCTTAATTGCTGATATATAATCAGATACTGCTAGAAAATGAAAGACACAAAGGATTGGTTGTTTTCCATAGTAGTTATGGAGAGTAGGCTTTCAGAATATAGATTTCTTCTTTTGATAGTACTTTCCTAAATGTTAGCATTCAAATTCACGAGAAAGAGAATAAATCATCCCTTAGAAATACTCCTACAATTATCTTGCTATGTACGACTGGGAGCTAATGTTCCTTCAACTCAAAGGTAAGATTGCCATTGATCTGAGCATGTTTAGGATCATGCATAAGGGAAATAATGCACAAAGACACAAAGGAAAGGAGTCCTTTGCCTCTGCTTGAAAGAGATACCACAGTAAGGAGCTGTGTTTTCAGGATAGCTTTCCTAGTATACTGCTATGTCATCTGCAAATGTCATCTGTTACAACACCTTACTACAGTGTGGGGTAGAATGTTTGAGTTGAGTTAAATGGGTTCTCTTTTTACATGAGAGCTGATAACTACATCTCCATTAAAATAGCTATTAATACTCACTAACCTTGGTTTTTATCTTTCCCAGCTTTCTTCAAGAACAGTATTTCAGTTAAATTAATCTTTAGAGAAACTCTGTGAATCAGCAGATATTCATTCTATCTCTTCCTTAAGATATAAATATAGATAGCATAAAATCAGTCTCTGGTGAAGATGGTCTCATACTTTGTTTTCATAATGACATATAGTTACAACTGCAGAGAGGTAAAACAAGCAAATCACGCATTTTCTAGCACCTGATTTCATGAGTGGTCAAGGAGCAACCTGCTGTGCAACACACATATTTGATTCCATTGAGCAAGTTAACGATAAAGCCAGGGTTGCATATCAAAGTTACAGGAACGCGTAGCAGCATGAAACCCCAGCATAAAACAGAGTGCTGAATCCCCTCTCTCTTTCTTAAACTGCTGAGCTACAATAGCCTCTCTCTCTCTAGCAAATGTCTACAGTTCTAGGTGTGGCTCAATCCTTTTCGCAGCAAGATTCTCGTGCTAAAAGGCTTGCCTTCCTACTGTATGTGGGTGTTTTTACAATCAGCTAGAGTGTTTTGAGCTTTTCTTCCAGTTTTGCCACTGACTTGGACTGTGACTAAGTAAATCACTTCACTATTCCATCTTCCTTTCCCTATGAATTAGACCCAGAGGAATAATAAAGTTGCTTGTGACTCATTTTTTTCAGTAAAGGCATGAGAAAATGCCAAGTCTAGTGTGCTCACTGTTACCAATCACTGCTGTGAAACACCTGAAAAGTTACTGCTGAGAAACTATGCATAAGAACACAAGTATTTTGATTTATTATGTGCAGGTGTCATTGACTACACCCTAAATTTGTTTCCAGCTTATATTTTCTTTTAAATCTTCTTAATCTTTCTTGCTAATAAAGTGCAAGAGATGCTGTGAGACTTCCAATAAAGACATGCAGCTTTCTTCAAAAGCTTACTCATTTGAAGCCTGAGCACAGCATGAATGACTTGATAGCAGAGTCCACAGTTGTAAAGTATACTACCTCTGAGGAAATTTGGAAGCACAATTTGCTTTTGAATTTACTTTGAATTAAAGCATCTCTCTTGTTATAGCCTGTATTCTAACCTAAATTTGTGAGTGACCTTGCAGGAACTGCGTGACTCTGTAATCTTTTATGACAACCCGTTGTGCTAACAGATGCTGATGTTGAGAGGTTCCATATAGAAGGAACAATAAGGAGAGATCAGTGAGAGACAGGGGGAAGGAAAACAAACAAGAATGAGCATTTGTTTTAAAACACATTTATAATTTTAAAAATACCAATACATATATTTTGTTAGAGAGTCTCCAGTCAGATTACCTACAAGGTACAATAGGTGCCCATTGTACAAGCGTAATTACCCAAATATCCCTTTCTGTAGGAGGTCATGTGCCTTAATGGGTTAATTACAAAGATAATTCCCTTGTTATCTCTACCCTAGATTATTTGGAAACAATATTACATACACATATTTTATCACATGCATACAAGAACTATGTCAGAAAAAAGTTCTGACTCATTCTATTTTTGAAAAATTCACATTAAAATGTCAGAAGAGCATGAATTGGAAATATTTAATGGATTTTCAAAGTTTGTCCCTGAAGAATATTTCTGACAACCACCAAGCAGGGCAGGCAGGACACATCCAGATGTGGCAGCTAGCACCACCCCCCCCAGTGCCCAAATCACCAGGCACGTCCGTGTTGATGCTGAAGTACCAACATGAAGCTGGGAAGGCAAATCGGCAAGTCAGGATCAGGCCTGGTGATGGTGACTAGGGCAAGTGATCACTGGGTCAAGGTCAAAGTTAGGTCAGGATGTCAGCTTGTAGGTCAGGGTTGCCACAGACACAATGTAGCCCTGGGAAGAACTTCACTGGGGCTCCTGAGCCCACAAGTAGGATGTATAGATGGAAATCCTGGATCAGGCTGGTCCAGGCTTATAAGAAGCACAGGTGCCCTCAGGGTTCTGACAAGTTTCTCTTTCATTTTATTGAGAGAAATGCACTCAGAACTGTCAGAATACTTTTTTCCCTACTGAAACAGAACCATACTTGCCAAAGACGATGACTTTATTTTAAAAACTCATCTCAGTTTAGCTTTTCAGATTCCAGCAGAACTCCTGGGGGCAGAGACACACTATAATAGGCAGTCACCCAATGAGAAGTACAGTACAGGTCTAAAGTCTCCAGATCCAAGATTCTACTGTTAATAAGGCAAAGCTTTGCTTTAGGCCTCTCTACATCACTTCTTAGTGTGGTATTATAAGGACTAAATGTTGGGCACATCCTTGTCTCTAAAAACCCTAAACTCTTCCTTATTCTTCACTGACATGAAGATACAATTAAATCCTGTTCTTTCACAGTGGAACAATTTTATAGTTAACCTTAGAATAGGCACAGGAGGACATAATTTATAACTACCTGCTCTCAAACTATTTCAGAAGAGTGTTTTCTCTGGTGAGGTATCCCCCCTTATGGTGGGGTCTGCACCCAAGCTTTCAGAAGGATAAGAAAACTTCATAGGAAGTATATCTGGAATGGCCTGAGCTGAAGGAAAACTCCTTCCTTCACTCCTAGTAATGAATTTGACTTGAGCCCTGAAATGTAAGACTTAATGTCTCTACAAATATGGTTTGTTTTCTTTTTTTTTTTTATTTCTACCTAACTTGAAAGTTTCATGCAATCCATATCAATGAATAAAGAAATGCTGGGAAACCAGAGAGTTTTTCCAAAGTTCAGTGACATTAAATCTGAGCAGCAATTTGATGTCAAAGAAGAAAATTTATGATACATTCTTTTCAATTGAGTTCATTTGAGATACATATTTTTCATATTCATATCTCTCAGGAGAGAGACAATTGCAGTATTCCACTGTATAAAGCAGTTTAAATAACAGTGGTGCCATGGAGTAAGTCTGAGACTAGCTCACTCATCTTTCCATTCTGAACACTACTTTATTAATTACTGTTCAAGGCAGCTCCTGAATACATGAGACATTGATTCAGGCTGTAAATTACCCACAGTGTCTCCACATTGTTGAATGGCTCTACATAACTCTTTTCTCTTAGTATGTGTATATTACACCTTTTCCAGTTATCAGGAATCCACTGAGGGTCTTTATAGACTTCCCGTGCCATTACCTTGGGTACTGGTGAGGTGACTATTTTATTACTAAGCACAGGAGGCTTTAATAAAGTCAGCACCAGGGACAGATTTGCTTAGCTGTCACATGTGATAGGAGTGCTGAAATATTTCATTCTCATGGCTCGACGTCTGCATTTCTCCATGGGAATTGCTTTTGCCTGTATCAGCTTGGTAGAATTCTAGTGTACTGACAAATTAAAATGAATGGTTAAGATCAGCAGATGGTTCAGATACACAAGACACATAGAAACCTGATTTAACTGCCTAGTTAATGCAAGGTTCACAGTCTCTTTTCATCATGTCACTTTTTAATGGAGCAGAGAGAACAATTCTTGAATCGATTTCTTAAGATTTTGCATCACTGTGCATTTACAAAAAATACAGTCATGCATGGCTTAGGTTTCTGCCTCACTAGGTATACTCACTATGAGCTGGAAGGAGGAAACTCTTATAATGTCCTTAGGTCACCTTGGTGGCTAAGTGTCAGGAGGTGTCTGACAGGCTTTGCCCCCAGAATGTTGTATTTCAGCCATGCAGAAGGTCTTTGCAATGAGCCCCTCTTGTCCAGCAGCATCTTGAAGATATTTCTGTTGTTTGGCTGTAAGCCCACAATACAATTTTCCTTCACACTCTGAGCTCAGCGTTAGTCC